TATTATTATACCAAATTTCATTTAAATATTTTAAATTGTTAAAAAAATAGATCAGTAGCATATTTATAGTACCAATACAGACAAATTTGCCTGTGTTAGTCTACAATCTAAGAGATAAGTTTTGTTAAAAAGATGAATCTTAAGAATATGAATAGAAATGTGAATCTTAAAAGTCAAAAAACTAGATTTTTCATATAAATATTTATATTTTTTAAATAGTTATTTTAAAAAATCTAATTCCTTAAGAGAGAAATTTGATTCTAAATTTTCTTGTTCTTTATAGCAAATAATAGTTTTCATTATATTATATACTTCAGTGATTATTACAGGTAGATCAGGTACCTCATTCTCATTCTTAGCTTCCTGTCTAATTAATTCTTTATTTTTTTTAGCTTGAATCATAGCAACAATTCTATTATCGTTGAATATATTTTCTGTCACAATAGATTCATCAATTACTTGTAGATATATTATTATAGCTTAGATAGTCTTTGGTATATATAAACTTTTATCTAGTAATTTAGTAACTATTTCTTCAATTTCTTTATTTTCTAATAGAATATTACTTTTAATATTCTGATCCATGTTTAACTTATTGTACTTGATAAAATTTTTGTCTTGTTCTAACAGTTTTGAATAGTTGTATTACTTATATTGTTCTATAATTCTGTAATAAAATTAATCATTTTTTTTGAATACAATATAGCTTTATTTAAACAATAAAGGAAATGCAGGAAATCATGTGATTTTTTAGGGGGAGGGGTAGCTAATCCATCACATTCTAAGAAAAATAAATTTTAATTGGTCAATATCTATCACAGGGGGGAGGGTAGACCTTATAGTAAGCAAAAATTACGTGATTTACTGCATAGCCCTAACTATAAAAAATCTTTATTATATACTAGCTTCTAACTATGTTAAAGAAAACTTTTAAAATCAAATTGCTACTTAGTATACTTTCAACTTTATCACATTTATATTCATTATATTCCAAAATATTTTCATAGTTAAATTACATAACATGCAATATACAAAAAACTATTTTTACTGGCTTATATATCCAAATATATCTACTTTAAGCTCTACTATCACCAGTACAATACAACAATTTTTTTACTCTAACAGACTTGATATAACAAGTACACAGCTTCAAGATCTTCACAATAAACTTATTAATCACTAGTATCTTAATCCTAGCTATAGTACATGCTCTAATACAAATATATATACTACAATTCAGAGTTATATCTCTATTATACTTATAGAAACTATATACGTATTTACTGACTCTAATAAAATAGCTAATATAATTACTGCTAAATTTCTCTTATAAATATCACAAAATATATACAACCAAATTTAGAAACTATACTATACAAAATTTACAAAATAGAAACAACAACATACAGTAATATATTACCAAGATCTACCAATATTCTACAAAGTAGTTGTACTCTACCACAAGTAGCTATATACTACTCTAGATCTTTATATACTTATAGCTGTAGCTATAGTCTTTCTGATCATCAATATAAAGACAATACCTGTCCACTTCTTGGTAAAGCTATTAAAAAAATATTTTTATGGATATTCTTATAGATTAATTATAGTACCTCTACTAATAATATTTTAAACTACCAAATTTAGATAAGTTTTAACTACTCTAGTAGGTTTAGATTGCAGATAAATTAGATAGAATTAGATAATTTACTATTTATAGTATATCTATAGTTTGAGTCTTATTCTTGTAAAAAATTTGTAAACAATTAACTATGGCCAAAGAGTTTCTTTACAGATTTTTAATACAAATTATTAAATAAAGATAAAGACAAAACCTCATCTTAAAAAAAAAAAAAAAAATTAATTGCTTTTTTTACAATTATTTTTTTCTGTAAAAAAAAAAATCAAAATTAGTCTAAACAATAATAACAAAGCATAATACGTAATTAAGATTTAGAATTAAAATACAGAATCTAATTTTGATTAAGTATTAGTAACTAGAAGCTTAATATAGTATAGCTCTTAGACCAATTATAAGTTTTTTTTTTTTTTTAATATTAAGATGACCACTTGGGGTCTGGCATAGTTTATTAACTTCTCAGTTCAATTATCAGGATACCAAATAGACATCTTTTAACTTTGTTATATCAACAAGAGTACACTTGGTTATACGTATAACTTTAGTCATTATCTAATTAAGAGCTCTGCTATATCTATTTCTATCTATAGTTATCTACCAATTGCTATATCTATGATCTGCTTGTAGATCCCCTATTTAAATCCTCTGATCAACTTAACGCTATCAGATGCTTTTCTCAGAAGAATTCTTGCTATTAAGGCTCTTTAGAACTACTTTATTATCATAATAAACCTACCAGAGTGGTTTATGTCCTATACATGTATCACTTGAGTTTTTCAGAAACATATGCCTCAATCTGAGGACTGGAACTTGCGATCTTTTGCATTGCTACCGTAACCTACTCCTTGCGCTTTACAAGGTTTGTTCTGATCCTAATATTCACTTCCAACCAGCCCTTATACCGATCTCTCCCCAACTACCAAACCAGTTAGCTCAGAAAGGTTGTTGTACCTAGGCTCTAAGTGCCTTCTGGTTTTACTTCTCTTGGTTCCAAATTCTATAGCATCAAATCTTTTCTTCTGGTACAACTTCGGCAACCAGGTTGGTAGACCCTTTTACCCCAAGGTTGTTCATCCGGTTCTTCGGTCTTTAGTACCAATTTTCTGTAATATCATCAAAAATCTTCACTACTTCTAGCTCGGGTCTTGCCAAATGGGTTTCAAATATTCTGGTTTCTTGGATTTAAATCGCTCTAAAGCTTCTATTTCAAGATGTGGTACCAAGATTACAGGTGATATACCTAACTGATCATTAACTAAATGTTACTGTAATACAGGCCTATTTTTCGAAAAATGTCTCTGGTAGGAATCAAACTCTAGACCTGCCATTTGGGTGATGACAATTTAACAACTACTTTATGTCGTCACACTCTTTATTAATTTTTTTTTTTTTCTACTTAGGCCATCTTGCTTTTAGTCTCTTTTATTACTTTACGATTGTTAATATACAAATGGCTTGAAGTATAATATTGAAAAGTAACTTCTTGTAGTTATTTCAAAAGCATTTATAAGTGATCGGCCATATTGAGCAGACATATCTATATAAATATATCTCGATAGGTTTCAGAAAAGAAATACTAACTCTCTTAAAGAGGGCTCTATTAGACTACACAATGTCATTCTGGGGGTTTTGGGACAGTTAGACTTTTATTATATCAGGATCATTTTCTGGGGGCTTCTAAAGTCTAAAAACTATATCGATATTTTTATATATCAGGAATAAATCCTGGAGGGTTCTAAAGCCTAGGAACTATATTGATTGGATCATATTCTAGAGGCTTCTAAAGCCCAAAAACTATATCGATATTTTTATATATCAGGAAAA